GTCAGTAGCTTACAATTGGCATCAGGACAGATCTGCTGCCACCTCGGCGGTACAATGGGGCGGGTGCATTGCAACCGTTTTGAACCAAGTGGCGCACAGGGCTAAGGAAGCTGGCAGAGACCCCACGGGTTGAGGACAATGGGTCTATGTTCGTCTCCAAGGAAGGAAGGAAGTTGAAAGCCCATGGGGGTAATGTTCAGGACTCTTTGATTGAGGTAAATGACTTAGTTCGTGGTCCGATCTCCAAGGACTTGGTGGTGGTCTCCGCGTATCGTCCGAACAAGCAAGGCCTCGGTGGATCTACAGTGTGGGCACAACACAGGCTTCACTTTCATGCAGTGAATCGAAAAAATAATCCAAGGAAAGCCTTTGTGGACGATCTTTGCAAACAGATCACCAAATGGCGTGATGAAGGATGTGAGGTGGTTTTGGGTATAGATGCAAATGAGGATGTCACTGTCAACGCACCCCAGTCTATCCGCCACCGCTTCCAGGCCTGCGGTCTTGAGGAGGCGATCCTAAAACACCATCCACCACAAGTGACCCACCAGCGCAACCAATGGAACATTCCAATTGATGGTATCTTCACCACTTTGGGCGTACCAATCCTTGCGGGTGGGTACTATGCCTTTGACGAATTCTTTGATTGTGATCATTGCGGATTGTGGATTGACATTGATCTTTCCGCCTCCTTGGGCAACTTCCAACCTCAGAAATCCAACTTCACGCCACGGAAGTTGTCCCTCCAAGACTCTCGGTCTGTAAGCAAATATCTTCAATTGGTTCACAAAGGTTATGCCAAGTACTCCATCCCAGAGAGATTGAATAAGCTGAATCAGCGTATTGACCACCTGGGACACCAGATGACCCCTTCCTTGGTGCGCAAATACAACTGTTTACACAGACAAATGTATACAGTGAGGCGCCAGGCGGAAGAGAAGTGCCGGGCCTTAGCTCCAGGTAAAGTTCCCTGGTCACCAAAAATGCAGGGATTCTGGGATTGTATGAGCCTGTGGAAGCTTCTGTTGAAAGGCAAGAAGGGTTGCCGTGTGAGTTCGCGCAAAGTTCGCCGGTTGATGAAGAAGACAGGGTTGCCACAAGCTTGGAGGAAGTCAGCTGTTGATCTGGAGGACTGCCTGAAGCAAGAGCGCTCCTTGTACAAGCAGGCCAAACACACCTACGCAGCTCAATGGAGGAAAGACTTCTTGACAGTCCAAACCAAGGACGCAAAGAAGCATCAGTGGAAG